AAATCAAACAAACAGCTCAGCAAACTATATAAGCGAAGTAATTATGATATCACCTGCATTGTGTATCCTGTATTGCGGATCTTCCAGCAGGGGACGAAAGGAAATTTTGGATTTCATCCCACGTAGCCTTTGGGTACTTGATTGCATCTCCAGCCATAGGGTTCACACATTGCCAAACTTTTTCATTTTTTCCCACATACAACTGCAGGTTGCCTAATCGGTGCTGTACTACCAACTGCTGCTCAAGGGCAGATGCCAAAGCTTTCTTGACATCAGTATTGCGATGTTTGATATCTCCATATCTGATGCAGTCCGTGATATTTTCCTCGGTAGGCATAATTTTCTCATTCTTAAGGGTGTTTAAAGCAAGTATAATAATCCCAATAAGACCTTGCACATAATCAGAAGGTTTAGGGTATCCAGATGTTCCCCAAACACCATTAACAGAGATAACAGCAGTTCCTGATGCTGAAGAGAGGTTTGGTGGTCGAATTTCTTGATTAGCCTGAGGACGACTAGCGGTATTTGGTTCTTGGTAAGAAGATCTTTTCTGTGTTGTATACCCTTTTTGCGGACTCTTTAAACTTGGGCGGTTTGCAGGCTCAAGTAAAGCTGCCCTTTTCTCTCCTCCATTTGTTTGTTGTGAATTGTTTGGCGGCTCGGAAATATGTAAATTGCTAACATCAGGTGCACATTTTTCAACAGGGGGCACATTTGCCCTGAATTGTTGATGATATTGATTTTGATAAGTTCCATGATGGTAATTACCGTTGGCCCAAGAGTCAGGACCAGTAGAATAAGAGGGTCCTGATCCAGTACTAGGGGCTCTATAGGCACCAGAAGAGTCCAGAGGAAGATTGAACGGCTTAGGGTACCCATATGCCGTTTGGAATTTGGCATTGTTATAATTTTCTTCAGGCTTAATCATGTTACTTGGGTTTCTTTGCATACCGGGTTGGGTGCTGGTTCGCCAAATTTGTTTCCCTTTGTATTTTGGATCACTTTCTCTTCCTGCATTCGAAAATTTCTGATTTCCCAAATTTAGACTGCCATGAAATGAATTCAGAGGTTGGTTTCCACCTACGGCTTCAGTGTGCAATGAGTCACTGACAGGTAACTGTCCATTGCTGTTAGTTACAAATTGGGCAGATTCAGCATTTGTAAGTGGTGGCCCTCCAGCAGATAGGCTCGTCCAAAGCCATACACTCTTAGCGGCAGCGACTAGTGCTGCAGATGCCTTTTGAGGTTGGGCCAAAAGAATGTTATACCGACGCATTCTAAGTTGGTGTAGAGCATTTGAGAAGTCTCTATCTCCAGAAATCAGTAGATAATTGGCGGGCGCTGGATTGTCAACAGCCCAAAATAACATGTCAACCAGAATCTTCTTGTCACTTGCATCTTTCACACCTGATGAGATTTACTCAATGATTAAACTTAATGTGATTAGGTGAATATTGACAATCAACATTAAGAATTGTGTGATGCTAAGGCATAGAGTTCTTCTCAACATGGAAAAAGTCGATGTATCGTTCAATTGTTTGCAGAAGGAGACGGGATGATTATATGAAAGCCAGTACGATTACAAGTACTGAAAATCATCACAACTATACAAACCATATGTGTCAAAGAAAGTTCCAAATTACAAAAAGAATAATAATAATAAAGACAAGTAAAAGTGAAAGACTTTATTAACTATTGAGATTGCAGAAGATTCCGATCTATAACCTATGCATACACATAGAATATCAGAATCACCCAACATGCAAACACCAAGAAAAGGATATCATATAAAAACTTAACAATTCATCAACATACGCTTAATAAGAGTCTATCAAAGATCACATAACTACATGAAAATGACGCTAAGACACATTATCTTGATTTTGGAGGAAAAAGACACTAAAACATGGCTGCCGTTAACTCTCAGTTTCCACTTAACTTCAATTCTAGTTCAATTAGCCACAAGCCCTCTTCGCCGTAAACTCGATGATTAACTAGTTCAATTATTTAAAAAAATAAAAAAAAAATCCTTCAGAAAAACCCATATCCATTCGATTCCCCCCAAATTTCATCAAAATAGGTTCGGAAATTACCGGCAGGGACATGATTAAGCGCGACGCCGGTGCTGTTGAGCGCGTGCTGGACGGAGGACGAGATCCTGGTGGTGTCGCCGTAGGCTGAGACGGAGACGGGCCCACAGTAATTCATCTTGACGAGCGCCGAACTTATGTTCTGCGCGATGGTGTGCGGATCGCAACTCTTGGGCACGTGACAGTTCTCGATGTCCCACCACACCGAAATCTTGGCCTTGACGTACTGCTCCTCCGCCGCCGCCGGCAGCGACTGCGCTCCGTCTCCATCCATGATCGTCGGCAACTGTCAAAACCACCTAAAGAAGGCCACCTAGTGAGAAAACGTTTCCAGAAGCCGCAGGGACAGGCGGCGCACGATAGCGGAGGGAGTAGTTGTAATTGATTGTGCCAATAATTTTCTGCTGCTTTTTATCTTGACTCTTGCTTTGCCCTCATATATGGAAAATGTGCGTGGGCGTGACGAAGACTATCTATCTACAGACTTTGGAATGTGTGTAGGAAGGAGCACTTTCGTTGACGCACTGCAAAGACAAATTTGCCCCTGATTGAGTTGGATTGGGATTCCTAGTTGGTTAGTGGGCCCTGAATCTTATTGATCAGTTTGTGGTTGGTTCAGTTCATTGGTCGTACACTTGGGCGTCTCAAAGTGGCGTACATCACGGTGCAGTTTTACCAAGACTAGACGGTAGTCATACCATATTATATGAATGAATGAATGAATGGTATTACCTTATATATTAGTCTAAGAAAATAACATTAGAAATTGATAAGAATTGCCTCAAACCGAGTTGAAAACACAATCATTTGAACAGTCACCAGCTCGGAGCTCCGATAACTTGTAAAACACCGGAGAGGGATCCTTGTAGAAGCCGACGATGTTCAAATCAATATATTGCGCGTGAAAAAACGTATAGTGTGTAAGTTCGGCGTGCGTGACTGCAATGTGTTGAGTAAAAGCATGGTTTGGAAAACCTGACGGGACCGGCTAGTTCGATCGGTTCAACTGGAAACAGGTCACAACATTGGTCCAGTTTGAGGTGTTGAACGACTGGGGCCCTAAAGCGGTGATGAATCGTTCGAACCGATTCTAAAACGGTAAAACTTGAAAACCAGTTACAATTCATTCGGTCTGGCTGTTTACAATTTTGAACATTCTCTACAAAATGTTTAATTGCGTCTGATAGAGAGCAACCGGGTATATGGTGCACTGGTATGAATAGCATCTCGTGTGTGTGTGAGGTCTCGTGATCAAATTTGAATCTCCTCCACCATCCCAACAGTTCATGAACTTTTAAATTTTAATCGAAGCAAAATCTTTTTGTCTTTTATATTCCGTATGTTTAGACCATTAGAATGCACCAACCCAACAACCCATGAACTTTTAAATTTAATCAAACCAAAAGTCCGAAATTGATTTTAATTTTTTTATTCTTTACTTAATGAAAATTGTTAGAACATCACTTGTGACTAGTTGTCCCAAATTGTTTATACAGGGAAAAGAGACCTAATTTATAAGTCTAATGGATCACTCCTCATTTCACTAATTGGTTTTGGGATTAAACCTCACTTGGGCTTCATCTGAGCTTTCTTTGCTTATGGTGTGCTTCATCTGCGTAGGACGACCACACTTGTTTTTCCCCCGTTTCTTACATGGTATCAAAGTTGGTTCTATTAGGACGGTGCGATAACGTACCCGTTTACCCAGCCTGTTTCTAGTAGCGCTTGGGCACCCGACTCTGTATATGGACTTGGGCTTCTTATGAAGGACTCACAAATAAGGTAGCGTGTTAGAATATCACTTGTGAGTTGTCCCACATCGTTTATATAGGGAAAATAGGCATAATTTATAAGTCTAATGGGCTACTCCTCCTTCCACCAATTGGTTTTGAGATGGAATCTCACTTGGGCTTCATTTGGCTTTCCTTGCTTATGGTGCGCTTCATCTGCGTAGGACCGCACCCGTTTTCCCCCCGATTCTTACATAAACTAAAAAAAAATAATTTAAAACTTAAAATACAAATTAAATTGCAAACTTGTAGCTTTAGAATGTATCTAAATTAGTATTGTTTATGGTAAACTGTAAATAAGATATTGATTATTGAACTCTTATTTAAAAAAAAAAAAAAACATATCATAATACACGATAAATTAATGGTAAAAATATATACAGATATATATTATACAATTATTCCCCTACCCATATAAATCCGCCCCAGATTGGATGAGCTAATTATGTCGATCTATATGTAAAATTAACTAATAGTTTTTAAACTCGGCCTAGGAATCGACCCGGTCAGGTCTCCGGGTCACGGGGTCAGCCCATCGGGTCACCGAGTCAATTGTTGAACTGGAAAATTAATTTTAATATTTTTTAAATTATTTATATTGTATTTTGTCATATAAATATACATAAAAAGTAATAAAATTTAATGTTTTGTATATAATTTTTTTACATTAAAGTGTTAATAATATGTATTTCATGACAAATCTTTACCATATAAATATATAAACATAGTTTTATTTTTTAAAAACAAAAATAATAATAAAATATATAATAGGACCGGGTCTAGACCGAGTTGGCCGGCTTTGACCGAGTTCGACTGGATCCTTTGTTGTCCGGTCCAATTAGTCCTCCCGGACCGGTTCCGACTCTAGGGCGACCGGGTCCTGTATCGACCCACCGGTCCAATCAGGATTGAAAAACACTGCATTGACCTTCAAGAACATTATGGATAAATCAAAATCATATGATATATTACAAAAGGAATTGAGATATACAAAAACAATTTGTACTTGGAATACAACATTTCGTAGTATCGATCATGCATGCATGTCTCTCCTTACCGGTGCCGTATGTTAATAATTAATTGGCATATTCAATCGAAACTCGAGCATTAATTAGACCATTTTCATTATGCTTTGCGCTTATATAAATAGCTATCGATGTAATCTTCATTAATTCAACAACTTTTATGTCGTCTCTGTATATAAATATGGGCAGACATACACATTTATTTTGTAGTGAAAGTGCATAAATGGAGACAATTTGAAAGATGATAAATTTGGAGGATGCTACGGTCTCGTCACGGAACCATCTCGTCGGGTTTGTAACTGTTAGATCAACTATCTCGACGGTCACATGATGATCTAACGGTTACAAACTCCGACGAAATAGTTCCGTAACGGGATCGTAACATTTCCCGGTAAATTTAGTCCTAGTCCCCACACTATTATACATAAATAGCTAATTAAAATAGTTATTATGGCTCATGATGCGATAAGAACAGGAAACTGCGCATACGTACTAACATAGTAAGAAGCTCAAAATAAATGAACAAGTCTGAGCCAATAAATACATCCACACTCATACTGTCATACATACATACATACATACATACATACATACATACATACATACATACATATGATGTAATTAATCTCCTAACAATTAAATAATCTAAGTAGCTGCACCTCAAAACTTGATCATACATTCATCTCCCTTGAGTGCCTCTAAACATCCAAAACAGCCGCCGTTATGATGATGGTTGTCAAGGTGACAACGCATCCAACGAGCGGCTGAGATTTGGAGGGCCTAAAAGCCCAAGATATGTTGGCCGC